TAGAAGCAGCAGCCTTCCAAGGAGACCGTCTCAGAGCAGCCAGGAGTCAGCCAGAGGGCAGAGGAGACCAGATGGAAAGGCAGAATCCGTGGGGAGCCACAGGAAGCCGCCCCATCTGTGTTTGTGTCAACTCAAGCATTGTGGCGGGGGGGAGGTGTTATTTGTGCATGCGTAAATCGCCCCTCAGATCCCCCACAAACTCATTTTAAAATGTCTCCCCGCAGGTTAAAAAAGAAACATGTCAAGGTTTTGCCCAGGGGTGCTACTTTTCTACTTGCAGGGAGCATCTTCTTTAGGGGTCCATTTCAAGTCCCATTACCCCATCCGTAGCAGTAGATGCTACTTCCTCCTGCCCTTGGATTGCATTTCACACAGACACACAGACACCCCATCATCCTGCACAGGTAGATGAAGTGAAAGGCAGGGAAGCGAAAGAGGGAGGGAACAGATGCTACAGCGTGACCTCCATCGCCAGCGCCCTCCCTGCCAGGCCCTGATGCCACGTCCACGTGGCGACTTTTGACCGCGATCTGACCTGGTGTTTGGCTTCCTTCACAGCACAAACCAGGACTTGGCTCGCAAAAAGTCTTCAAGGCACCTTTGTGGACAGTTCAGCCAAATCAGCCTGAAGCTGCCCCGGATCCCCCTTCGCCGTCAGAAGCTGCCAAAAGTTGTAGGTAAGGATCCGCCCCACCCCACGGTCTCGGTCACGGTTGTGCCCTGCTAACGGAAACGAAGCTGGGGCAGGGCTGATGCAGCGGGCTTCGGCCGGTCACACGGTCATGACCGCCAGGTGGACGCTTTTCACACACGCACACCCTGTGGGTGTCCCTGGCAGGGTGCAGGGAACAGCAGAGGCTTTCGTAAACGGAGCCATTGGGTGGTCTTACGGAGAGGCAAACTATGCCCCCTAAAGTGCGAGATCCCGGGGCGATGGGAGTCTCTCAGCCTGGGAGGTTGGGCGCCTCTTTCTGCTCCCAGAGACTCCCGGCTGTTCTGGTTTTCATGCTGAACGTCTGGGCTGTGAGGGGCAGTTTAGAGTTTATGGGGACAAATTCTGGAGAAATCGCACCTTGCTGGGTGAGGGTTGTGCTGGGGGGGGGATCCAGCTGCAGGGCCGGGGCCAGGCCCTGCCCAGGTAAATGCGCCTTCTCAGCTGAAAGGAAAGAAGGAGCAGTTTATTGACATCCGTTCAGATTATCACGAACAACTTCTGACTGGCCGCAGAGCATCATCATTAATAGGTGTTCCCCGATCGCCGGGGTCTGCAGAGCAGAAAACTCCTTTTAAGTTAACATTTGAAAATTGACAAAGCAGCAGCAGGTTATTCAGTCAGCCACTTCCAGCTCTTTATGATCCAAGGACATAACTTTGTCAGGCCTGTCTGTCAGAAACTGCCTCTTTGCCCTCTGTCACCCCTTTTTCAATGCTGATTTTTTTCCAAGCGTCAAGGCCTGATTCTCGCCTTTGCACTGTGTCTCCAAAGCATTAAGGCTGTATCTTCATTAGTGGGGCTTCCAGCGAGCAGCCTGGCTTTATTTCAGCTGTTGAATTATGTGTTCTTCTTGGGCTCCAAGATCTTTTTCCAGTGCCGCAGCTCAAAGGCATCAGTGGAGCTGTTCGACTTTCGCTTCCTCTGCATCCGTAACTGGAGCGCAGACTTCCCCAGCCATGTGTCACAACAGAGAGGCCTTGACAACATGAATCTTAGTGGTCAACGTGATGTCTCTGCACTTTCTCTCGGAGCCTTTCTTCCAAGTAGCGTATTTCTCTTTATTTCACGACTCTAGTGTCCATCTCTGTGAATTTTTAAGCCTAGAATAAGACCATCATCCTGGCAATCTGGAAACAGTTAATCCAACGGATAAGACCCAAGACTCAGATGAAGAGTATTTATTAGAAAGAAGATAAGGGCACCATCAGAGGAAAAGCCGCGAGTGCTCTGTTTTCAAAGGAGAAACCGATATAAAGGCAACTTTAGGGTGGCTAAACTCTGGTTCGCTTTCTCCCTTTTTTTCTGCGCAGAGAGCTGGAAACAGACATCCTCAGGGGAGGCTCAGCGTTGCAGTCCAGCCCCACCCTTTTCGTACATGGCTGCAACATCAGCGCACATACAAAAGGAAGACAGCTTAGATTGTGACACCACACCCACATTTGCGTATTTGCACAGGGAGAGAGACAGACCGTAGACACTTCCATCTGGAAGCCTGCTTATTTTATGAAGGAGGAATAGCTTGTATCTGCTCCCTTTTTTATACTTGTCAAACCTTCTTTTCATCAACGTGAGAAGTAATTCTCATACCTAGGAAGATAAAGTCTGTTGCTCCTTCCACTTCTCTATCTATTTGCATTGCCTGTGGAAATAATCTTCATTTTTTGACGCTACTGACAGGCTTTTGCCTCCTCGTCTTCACCCTCAGCAAGAGACTCCTTGGGTCTTTCTTCCTCATTCCCCGCTATCCTCAGTATATCTCAGGGTGTGGGTGCTTCTTCAGGCTATTTTAATTCCAGGTTTTATTTCTTCAAGTTCAGTATTTCTCATGATCGATTCTGCATATACTCCTAAACCTTTGAGTTCTGTCATTCTCTTAAACAAATCTCCTGTCCTTCCCATTCAGTTATTAACGTTCAATTTCTTAGCATTGTTTATTTAAATATATTTAGTATTTTTAGTGTGTATGCATTTATATTATGATTATATAAGTGCACTACAAAACCTATATTGCCTCATCTCTTCTTGCTGTTCTGTGGAATTCAGCATTGAATTGGGAAAACATTCTTTTATTTTACTTTCCACTTTTTTTGAGCTGTTTTCGATGTATCAGCAGATAGCCATTTTATCTTCTTTTGTTTTCAGGATATTTTTCTTCGTTTCATCTTTAAGGATAGTATTTCAGTCCACAGTGCTTCAGGCAGTCTGTTTATCAAATCCAGTCCATTAGATTTAGTTCTTGTTTTCACTCCATACGGAATATGGTTGAAATATTGGCCTGATCATTTTGTTTTCTTTAGTTTTAAGTTGTAGCTCTACAAGAAAGTGCCAGTTCTTTTTTGCTGACTGAAGAGAGCTTCTCCATCTTTGCTCGCAAAGCACACCGTCAGTTCGATTTTGGTGTCATCCGCCTGATGATGCCCGCGTGTCTTTTAGGTCGCTGGAAGGTGTTTGCTATATAAACACTGGGTTTTCTTGGCAGAACGCTATTGATCTGTCTTTCGCTTCATTTGCTATACCAAAGCCAAACGTTCTCGTTATTCCAGATGCTATTTTACTTCCAACTTCAGGATTTTAGTCTTCCATTATGAGTGGTATCT